GCTGCCGGCCGGTGAGGACGAGCGTCCTGCATATTCCTACATCTTCCCAGAGTCCTTTGGGGCCATTACTGGGGAGCTAAACCATGCAGTGCACAGACTGATCATTAATAGAAACCAAAGAAGGTGTGACTGAATGTTTTTATTTTCTGTGAAGAGAGTCCCGGTTTGTGCTGAAAGTTGGATGTTTGAAAGGGCGCTGCAGGTGCTTTGGAAGGAAAACTTTACTGATGTGATTATTGGTCCCCGGTTTATCCGAGCTAAATCTTTCAACCGTTTGGTAAAACACAGTAATCCGAAGTTCAGCTCGGACCAGGCTGACTAAAACTCTCAGTGAGATTTATTTAGAGGAAGTGAAACTCATTAGGGTACTATTGCTTCTAAGTCATAGTCTGCCACCCCTCCAGTCTGCTTGAGGTGGCGGCTGTCTAGGCTGGCATCCTGTTGATCGGCCTGTGGTTGTCGTGCAGTGGAGGGAGGCAGGCCTGCAGGGACCCATGGATGCCCTTGGGAGACAAGCTTTGTAATCAACACCAAGCCTCAGGTGTTGACCTTCAGGGCCTCACTCCCAAGATTATTGCTGTAACATAAAACTGTTATCGGGGAAAATGTTTTACTTTAATGAAATGAAATAAAAACCGAACTTGGGGAGGAAGAAATGTCTTGTTGCTCGAAGTTATTAACATGAGCAGGATGTCAGCATGATTAAGTGTTTCTGCCCACGATAAATACCCCACCAGGGTAGAGAAGTAATAAAAGCTCAAGTATAAGCTAAAGCTTTCAACCAATAAGAACCAAACTGAACTGAAGCACGGAAACTCGCTGTGGACACACACTGAAACTAAACGGAGTTGGAAAGGAAGCATTAATGACCTTTTTTCTTTCCCCCCAATTCTACAGCCGCACTCTGACCGCGGTCCATGACGCCATCTTGGAGGACTTGGTGTTCCCCAGTGAGATCGTGGGTAAGAGGATCAGAGTGAAACTGGACAGCAGCAGGCTCATCAAGGTCCACCTGGACAAGGCTCAGCAGAACAACGTCGAACACAAAGTGAGTTTTAAAGCAGCGGAGGCGTCTGCATGTTCAGGAAACACGAATAACGATGCTTTCAAGTGTCAGTCTTTAACGTATTAATCGGTGGAAGGATTGTTTGGTGTGGGG